GGCAAATCAGAAGGTATACTTAGAAATGAGTAGCCCTGTTTGCATATATCACTGGATAGAAAGAAGCAGAAAAAGCTAATGAGTAAAGAGTTCAAATGAAGACGACAAAAAAAGAAAAATCGAGTAAACAAAATAAAGATAATTAAATCAAGGAAGGAAAGAAATACATTTATGTCAGCTTCATAAAAACAGTCATTTATCTCTGGGAGGGAGAAGAGACTGAAGTAGAGCTAGTTACCTTTGTAGCATTTTATTTCTTTGGACAAAAAAAGTAAATGCCTGTGTTTTTATTTTTATTTATTTATTTTTTAATGCCTGTGTTTTTTTAACAACTTTATTGAAATATAATTCACATATCATATAATCTACTCATTTGAAGTGTACAGTTTCCTGAGTTGTATAAATATCACCATAATCAACTTTAGAACATTTTTATAACCTCAAAAAGAAAGCCCCAGCCTTTAGCTGACATGCCCAAGTCCCTCTTCCTTCCCACCCCTAAACAACCACAATTCTGCTTTCTGTCTCTATAGATTTGCCTAATCTGGACCTTTCATGTAAATAGAATCTTAAAATATGTGATCTTTTGTGATGTAATTCTTTCACCCAGCATAAACTTTTCAAGGTTCACTTAGGTTGTAACATATCTCTTTGCTTCATTCATTTTTATGGATGAATAGTATCCCACTGTATGAATATACCACATTTTGCTTATCTGTTCATTAGTTGATGAACATTTTAGTTACTTCCACTTTTGACTAATCTGAACAATACTGGTATGGAGATTTGTGTACAAGTTTTTGTGTGGACCCATGTTTTCATTTCTCTTGGATTTATACCTAGGAATGGAATTTCTGAGTCAAATGTAAATTCTGTGCTTAACTTTTTGAAGAACTGCTGGACTGTTTTCCAAAGTGGTTGCACCATTTTATATTTCCATAAGAGTGTGTGAGAGTTCTGATTTATCTACCTCCTTACTAATGCTTGTTATTATCTGACTTTTTATTATAGGTATCTCATTTGATATGAAGTGGTTTATCACCATGGTTTTGATTTGTAATCCCTAATGACTAGTGATGTTGAACATGTTTGCAATGTGCTTATTAGCCATTTGTCTTTTTTAGAGAAATGTCCGTTCAGATCCTTTGCCCATTTTTAACTGGGTCATTTGTCATTATTACTGCATTATATATGAGTTCTTTATAGATTCTAGGTATAAGTCCCTTATCAGATGTATGATCAGATGTATGATTTCCAAATATTGTCTCCCGTTTTATAGATTATCTTTTCACTTTCTTGATCATGTCCTTTGAAATACACAATTCTTTAATATTGAGGAGTCCCAATTATTTTTTCTTTGTTGTTTATGCTTTTGATGCCTTATCTAAGGGAATCCATGGCCAAATCTAAGGTCACAAAGATTTACCCTTGTGTTTTATTCTGATTGTGTTTTTATTTTTATTTATTTATTTTTTAATGCCTGTGTTTTTTTAACAACTTTATTGAAATATAATTCACATATCATATAATCTACTCATTTAAAGTGTACAGTTTCCTGAGTTGTATAAATATCACCATAATCAACTTTAGAACATTTTTATAACCTCAAAAAGAAAGCCCCAGCCTTTAGCTGACATGCCCAAGTCCCTCTTCCTTCCCACCCCTAAACAACCACAATTCTGCTTTCTGTCTCTATAGATTTGCCTAATCTGGACCTTTCATGTAAATAGAATCTTAAAATATGTGGTCTTTTGTGATGTAATTCTTTCACCCAGCATAAACTTTTCAAGGTTCACTTAGGTTGTAACATATCTCTTTGCTTCATTCATTTTTATGGATGAATAGTATCCCACTGTATGAATATACCACATTTTGCTTATCTATTCATTAGTTGATGAACATTTTAGTTACTTCCACTTTTGACTAATCTGAACAATACTGGTATGGAGATTTGTGTACAAGTTTTTGTGTGGACCCATGTTTTCATTTCTCTTGGATTTATACCTAGGAATGGAATTTCTGAGTCAAATGTAAATTCTGTGCTTAACTTTTTGAAGAACTGCTGGACTGTTTTCCAAAGTGGATGCACCATTTTATATTTCCATAAGAGTGTGTGAGAGTTCTGATTTATCTACCTCCTTACTAATGCTTGTTATTATCTGACTTTTTATTATAGGTATCTCATTTGATATGAAGTGGTTTATCACCATGGTTTTGATTTGTAATCCCTAATGACTAGTGATGTTGAACATGTTTGCAATGTGCTTATTAGCCATTTGTCTTTTTTAGAGAAATGTCCGTTCAGATCCTTTGCCCATTTTTAACTGGGTCATTTGTCATTATTACTGCATTATATATGAGTTCTTTATAGATTCTAGGTATAAGTCCCTTATCAGATGTATGATCAGATGTATGATTTCCAAATATTGTCTCCTGTTTTATAGATTATCTTTTCACTTTCTTGATCATGTCCTTTGAAATACACAATTCTTTAATATTGAGGAGTCCCAATTATTTTTTCTTTGTTGTTTATGCTTTTGATGCCTTATCTAAGGGAATCCATGGCCAAATCTAAGGTCACAAAGATTTACCCTTGTGTTTTATTCTGAGAATTTTATAGTATTGGCTCTTACATTTAGGTCTTTGGTTGATTTTGAGCTGATTTTTTTGTATATGGTATGAGGTCGGCAGCCGAGCCATTTTATATCTCCACCAGCAGTGAACAAGAGTTTCAGTTTCTCCACATCCTTACCAAAGCTTACTGTTATTTTGTTTAGTTGTTTTTGATTTGCCTTTTGCTAATGATTGGTGCTGTTGAGCATTTTTTCATGTGCCTATTGGCCATTTATATATCTTCTTTGGAGAAAAGTCTATTCAAGTTCTTTGACCATTTTTCAGCTGGATTGTTTATTTTTTTGGTGTTGTTCAGTTGTGGGAATTCTTTATATATTTCAGATACCAGTCTTTATCAGATATATGATTTGCAAATATTTCCTCCCATTGGGTGGGTTGCCTTTCACTGTGCTAATAGTATCCTTTGATGCACAAAATATTTCACTGTTGATAAAGTCCAACTTATCTATTTTTTCTTCTGTTGCCTGTGCTTTTCATGTCATATCCAAGAAATCATTGCCAAATCCTGCTAACCAATTTCTAAACACTGGGCCTGGTGGTGTTTAAACTACTCAGTGAATCATTTAAAGAATTTTGAAGTAAGTTATTTCTATTCACCAGTTTACTTTTATAATTACAGAAGATTTTCATAATTACTCATTGAATCCCAAACTTCTTCTGAATTTTTATTTTCCTGATTACTGCCAAATGTACTCAATTGTAAATCGAAAGCATGGAAATAGCACATTATATTATGATACAATTGTTCCCCATGAGGAATAGTGATCAAAATTGTTGCCAACTGCCTTTATTAGGAAAAGAAAATTCTTAACTGATTAAAGACTATGGATATTATATGTCAGCTATTAAATGGGTTTTCAGCTTTTCTGCTTCATTTTTAAAAAAATACTGAATTTCACTTCAGCATGCATAATAAAGTTCTAAAACTTCAAAGACATTTTGCATTCTGAAAAGGGTTCCTTGTGCTTGTAATGTTCATTTGAAATTCAAATAATGCTTTGGAATTTGAAGCTAGTTAAAAGTTCTGTACTAAAGAAGAAAAAGGGGGAAGAGTCCTATCATTACTAATTGTTACTACTAGCAGATATTACGTCTTTGTACCTAGATAGTAGCAGTAAATGCATCTTTTGAAGTTATCAAATAATACATATGCTATCTATAGTAAACATCTTGGGCAATGTGTCAGAACTTATTTTTTAACCTCTGTAGTTCTTGTTTTAAACCGCTATATACTTTTTCAAGCAAGTGTTTTTTTAAGCCCCTCACTGTGTATAGTAGATGATGTAGAAGACCCAGTGGAAGTCTAAGACACGATCCTCTTCCCTTGGAGAATTTGCCATCTCTTGACAGAGCCTGATGATACACGTGACAGTATAAAAGAAGAAATAGGGACGTGCACCATTTAGATTCTGAGACAGTAAAGATGGGCTGTGGTGTCTGAGACAGTTGTAATGAGTGGAGCTCAAATGGCCAGGAGGGTGAGGTCTGTTTGGAATGGGCTGAGGGAAGGAGATGCTGTCTGGGTGAGAAGAATGATGTGAGCAAGGTATGACATCTAACTGGAGAAGTCGGGAACCAGGTACCCAAGACAGAGAGAGCAACCTGGAGCGTGCTGTGGACAGCGGGTGTTCAGGATGAGGATGGAATATGGGGAGCTGGGATAGTTGTTTTATACTCGATGTAGTTGACTGTAGAGAGGGACTGTGGGTTCTTGACCAGGGGAGCAGTGGAAAATTTAGTCTGTCACCGGTAGAGTTCATAACACTTTGGAGATAAAGGGATTTTGGAAACATCTTTTCTAACAACCCCTATCTACTGGATCCAGGGAGCTGAAGTAGCTTGCTCAAAGTTGCCCATTAGAAAATAGCAGATCTGAATCTCAGATTCATCCTTTAACTCCAAAGCCAATGATCTTTCTTTCATACCACAGTTTTCCAGAATATCTTCCAGTCTACCAGAATATCTTAAGAGAAAGAAAAGAGGGAGAACAGCACTCACATACTTGAGACAGTGAACACCCCAATCAGAGGGGTTGCTGAGGAAAACTGAAACAGAATAAGTAGAAGCATCTTAGTGGGAAAAAGTGAGAACCTGATGACTATTTATTTTAGTAAATGGAGCAAGTACCTAGAGAATTAAATATAGACCAAACTAGTTCTAAAAAATAATATTTGACTAAAGTGAGAAATTAATCCTAATAAAACTGTTATCCATATTCCAAATGACCCTGGCAAATGGGTGCTATGAAAATATTTGCAGAATGAATGAACAAAGGAATGAATGTATCAACTTAAATTTTTGTAGGTTTTTTTTTTTCTGGTAAATATCTTACAAATGCTATTTAAAGAAAGCATTTTCTTTTATAGATTCACCTTTTTGGAGTTTTGCTGGCCATTTTAGGAAACCTGGTAATCAGCATTTCCCTAAATATTCAGGTAAGAAGAAGCTTATTTTTCTAACTCTGTAGTTTGATCCAGGGACACATTATGACTTTAATAAACCTCAGACACTCTTGCCTTCTTCCTCCATTAAAGAAAATGTATCTTATGTCCTTATTGATATAAAGACAAATGTAGTGCTGACTGGATTGTATCCATGTTTTTTCTTTTGATTTTAAAAGAAGTTAAATATTTTTGTGAACCTCTTTATAGTATTGTATACCCCAGTTAAACTTCATGTGAATTTGTATCACACTGAGAAAAGATGTTCATAACATTGGCATAAACCAAGATTTATTTTAATGTTCCACATTTTCTTATGGTACTTTAATTATTTTCTGAATAGCTCCTGAAGCTTTTAAAAAATTTTTAAAGGAAAAATTTTAAAGTCATCTAGAATTGTGCATACTTCTTAAAGAAGTGAATTCAGTTATCATTAGAAAATCAAGAGGGAAATAGTGCTTTATTTAATGGCCAGTTTTTCAGGAATTCACATGTTTGCAATAGAAGGATGTACTCAAATCAGATATAAATGAGTTCCTCCATCCCAACCCTCCGCTACCAGAACTTTCTGCCCTGTTACATTTATTGTGGTAGCCACTTTGACTCACCCTAAGATATGCTCTCTTTAAATCCCTTTTCCAAAGGTGTTTCTTTAATAATTTATCGTATTTATTTCAATGATGTTTATTTTGGGAACCTGATTTTTTTTTGACAATCTAATAAAAGAAGTGTTTTGGTGTGGTAGAATAAAAAGTCACTTAACTCCTTAACATACATCCCAACTTTAGATAGTAATAATGATATTTATTTCACAGAGTTATGAGAATTAATTAATATGAAGAAGGCCCTTTAAACTATAAAATACTGTGTCAGTATGAGTCACTTTTAGTATGTTTGAAACAAAACAGAAAACCATAATCATTGCTCTATTATAATCTGCAAATAAATTTAAGAGCCCTGAAGCAATTTTATAGGACCAAAATTTTCAAGGCAGTTTTTAGTTGCGTGGAAATGTTTTCTTATTTACATTCTGTTTGACTTCTAGAAGTATTCACATCTTCGGTCAGCACAGCGAGAACCCCCAAGGCCATACTTCAGGAGCGCGTTGTGGTGGGCTGGGGTCATACTGATGGCCCTGGGAGAGACGGGAAACTTCTCGGCCTATGGACTCGCCCCCATTACTCTCATCGCTCCGTTAGGCTGTGTGTCTGTTACAGGTGGGCCATTTTTCTGTGTTTTGACAAATAGAAATTTTAAGAGATCAGAATAATCGGTGAAAAAACATACAACTGAACACAGGCCCAAAAGAAGAAGGTCTGTTTCCTGTTTTCTTAGCATGCTCACTTGGAACAGTTATACTCCTAATTTCAGTTATTCATTGTTATGGTGCCCCATTAACCATGAAGAAACTGGCATTTTGTAGCTGTAACATTTATGTTTAAAAGCCTGATTCCCGGTGTCTGAGTCAATAAATCAATAGCCACAGCAAATGTTATACATGCTTTTTAATCATTAATGAATTATCTTAAAACATTTGTAATAGAATGACATATTTTATTCATATGTTAAACTGACATGACATGCAGAGTCCTTGATGCCTGATCCATAGTTTAGCATCTCTTTTACATTAAGAATTAGATATATTACTATCTATAAGAATGTGTAATTTTACAGTAATGTCATAATTAACCTGCTTTCAAAATTTTTTATGACCTGCTAGATACATTTAGACAAGAGAATATGAGATGTTGCTAAAGACTAAAGATAAAGCAAAAATTACTGCTAAAAAAGAGAGCAAATTCTCTAAGCTGTGTTAAAATCAATAAAATCTTTTGAGTTTCACCCTTTATCTGCTGCTATGGAAACAGCATGTTTCTAAGTTTCTGTGAACTTGGAATCTTCATTGAAATAGAAACAAGTTGATGGTTATTGTCTGGTAGCGACTAGATCAAGCGTATTATCCCAAGTGTGATATTTTCCAAAAAATTATATGATATTCTTTTTAAAAACATAATTTAAACTGAAATAATGTATACTCAAAGGGAATTTTGTTTCATTTTGAAAGAAGTTTCCCCTTCTTAATCATTTAAAATATCTTATTTCATAATGTACAATAATAGAATGGTTAGCAAAGAATGCTTTTTTTTTCCCAATAATGCTTTTTTGGCTTTCTAGAAATTGTTCAGTTAAAATCACCCTACTCTGAATAGGCACACAATTTATGTAATCATTTGACATTTTTAAAATTCAGATAAAATCAGCAATTTGAAGGTGTCTTATCTTCTATTTACTACTGCATATACTGTGTACAAGGGCATTCTTTATATTTATTTTTTTTTCTTCTCAAAATCTGAGAAATAACAGATAAAAAGATATAGTTATATTGTGCTTCCCTGCTGGCATTAATGCTAAAGAACCTGTCTGCCAATGCAGGAGACATAAGAGATGCAGGTTCGATCCCTGGGTTGAGAAGATCTTCTAGAGGAAGGCATGGCAATCCACTCCAGTATTCTTGTCTGGAGAATCCCATGGACATAGGAGCCTGGAGGACTGTGGTCTATAGGGTTGCAAAGAGTTGCACACGACTGAAGTGACACAGCATGCACGCATAGTTATATTGTCACCATGAGACTTCTACAGGCCCCAATTGTTCTGAAACTGTTGTACTATTTTTCATAGCAACTGTCTGTTTAGAGCTCATCTCTAGTTTCGTTTCTGATTCTGCTTCATGCTCAGTTTCCATGCAATAGCCTAAAACAGAAGTGTCCAGACAGATCAAACAGAGGCCCGAGGAGGGTTGAGTGCATCACATTGCACTGAAATTCTCCGTTTATCTTGAATCCCCCGGTCCTGGGAAGCTTTTTTCTGGGAACAAGAAAAGAGCCATTCCAACTAGCACAAAGGAAGGGGGATGTGCTGGATTTCTTATAAAGACCCAGAGATCTCACAGAAATGAAGATAAGCCAGGCCTCTTGGGACCCGAAGTGAGAATTCGGAAATTATCAGAGATGAAGGGCCAGCCCTGATAAGCTCCTCACAGCCCTTCGTGAAGCCGCCTGTGAAGCTGCTCATCTTGGCGTGACTTGCTCGAAGCTCTCATTAATAACAGGAGGTTTTCAGTCTAACCGCCTTTCCCTCCGAGAGCGTCCTCCCAGGTCTGCTGGAGGGGCGGGGCAGTCCACGCACCTGCAGACTTGGGGATGGGCTCTTCTCCATGCTATCCTCCCATTTTCTTTGTCTACCCCTGGCCTGGATTAATGCTTCAACTTCAGAACATTTTTAGCAACCTCCCTCTCTACCCATTTAAAATGATTCCAAGAAGTAAAACTATAGCCTCAAACACAAATTGTTTCCTGCTTTACAGTCTTTGCACACAGTAATATATGCTCATAAATAATATTCCCACAGCACTCCTGCATTGAATTCAGGTCACTGTGCAGTGTTGTGGGTGGGTAAGGAATGCTGGAGATGGAGGATTTTCCCCAGAACAACCCCCTACCACTTTTATGATTCTTTATATAGGTTCTAGAAACTCTAGAAAATGTGAAGCAAAGGGGACAGTATTTTTTAATAAATATGTTATCCTATGGCTATGTCTACAGCTGAGGCAGAGAAGTGTCTACACTTTACTAATTTCATTTTCCCTATTATTTCTTGGGAGCTTCAAGAAGGAAATCAAACCTTCCTATGATTTTTTTTAAAGGTAATATTTGTTGCAATGTTGCATGAGAGATTACATGTTCTTTTCTGGTTTTTCTGCTGTCTTTTGTGGCTTTCAAAGTTTGAAAAGAAAAAAAAATAAGAAAGAAAGAAAACTGAAGTCCAAAACAGTTTTTTTTTTTTTTTTTTTTAAGTTTTAGCTCTTAAGTCCAAGTGAAGGAACTTTCTTCCATCTTCTTCATTCTCCTTGGGTAGCCTGGTTCATACCAATACACTGTGTTCCTTTTTCTTCTCTCCAGAAGTAAGGCGATACTGTGTGGGTCATCATCTCACTACGCCCAGGCTGCTAATATGTCAGTCCCACTGCTTTGTCTTACATAATCAAAATTCCTCCTCCCTTTGTACACTTCAGTGCAACAGACTTTTTTTTTTTAGGAATAGCACGTAAGAAGCACTACGGTAACCACCCTGGATATTTCAGTTTGTACTCCACCCACATTCTTGCCTTGAACCATCTTCCTTTCTAGTCTTCCTTTCCTTCTCTCTGTGTATCCTGCTGCTCCACACTGACATGCTTACCTGGAGGTGGCATTTCTCAGCACCAGTTTTACTGATGGTTTCATAGGCGTTCTCAGAAACAAAGAATTCTGTAATCAAGCAGGTTTCTGTAATATTGGATTTAAAACAGTACACAGGTTTCCTGAGTAGAGGATTTCTTGAGGCTCTGGGATAGGCCCAGGCATGCTGTCAATTTTTCAGAAGCAAATGCAGTAAGCCAGCTTTCCAAATCTATTGTCCAAAAGATGCCTTTATAAGAAGCATCTCAAGGAACAACAGTTCTGCAGAAAACCCTCTAGAGAGTCTTTACGGCAGCGCTCACAGACAGTCAGAGCGTTCTAGAGACTCAGACAGGATAGATACCTCGCCGGTACCTACAACAGGGTGGGGAGGTGGGTAATGGGAGTAATCCTGATACACAGGCAGATCTGAATGCCCAGGCCTGAGTCCTCTTTTGAAGAAAGAGGCTCAGAGCCCTCATATTCTTGTATCTCCTTATGCTTTTACCTTCCTTTTCTCCCTGAAGGGCTGTCTCAGTGAATAATAAGTATAAAAGCTTATTTTGGCTAAAATGCTGATTATATGCTGGCAGGCTTCCCTGGTTCCTCAGACAGACAAGAATCCACCCACAATGCAGGAGACCTGGGTTCAATCCCTGGGTCGGGAGGGAGAAATGGCTGCCTCCATCCTTTCGAGAAGGAAATGGCAACCCACTCCATGGAGAATCCCATGGACAGAGGAGTCTGGTGGGCTACAATCCATGGGACCACAAAGAGTCAGACATGACTGAGTGACTGCCAGTTTCACTTTTTCTCATGGTTAATTCTAGGAGTTTGTTTTTCCATTAATTAAGAAATCTTAAGAGTTGGTGTTTCAGTTGCACCTGGAAAGCTCTGTGACCTCAGGCAAGTTGCTTAGATGGGTTTATGCCTCAGTTCCCTCATCTGTAAAATGGGAATAAAAGCAGTTCTTCCCTCAGAGGTTGTCATGGGGAAGAGCTGAGTAAACAGAAACACTTAAGAACAGTGTTGGATCCATAGTGCAGTGTTTGACACAGTGACAAATCTGGCCATTGTCACTGTGATTTATATTTTTAATTAACTAAAACACAGTACATTATTCTTTATAAGGGAGTTTACTTCATGCTTCTGAAGATGGCTGGTTGTTAATTCTCAAAAATGAATAAACCACTTCAGGAAATGCCTTTTATTGTCCTTACCATTGTTGTCGTTCATTGTTCAGTCACTAAAGTCTTGTCTGACTCTTTGCAACCCCATGGACTGAAGCACACCAGGCTTCCCTGTCCTTCACTATCTCCCAGAATTTGCTCAAACTCAGGTTCATTGAGTCAGTGATGCCATCCAACCATCTCATCCTCTGTTGCCCCCTACACCTCCTCCCCTCAATCTTTCCCAGCATCAGTCTTTTCCAATGAGTTGGTTGTTCACATCAGGTGGCCGAAGCATTGGAACTTCAGCTTCAGCATCAGTCCTCCAGTAATTAATTAATTCTCAGGGAGAAGAAGGGTGGGCTCCTCACTGCTCATTTGTTCAGCCATTAAGCAGCAATTATCCTATGACTCCTCCACATATTCCCCACCAAAATGTGTTGGAAAATACCAGCATTTCCAAATAACCTAGCAAAAACAAATACATATAAAAAACAGACTCAGAATTTTGTCCAAAGGAAAACAGTCTGAAATGTGCGTGCAACTTTCTGTCTTCTTGCTCTGGCTTCAGAGCACTTTTGTTCACTTGCTAATTAACTTCAGAGAGACATTCAGGTCTAACTGTAATTTGAGAAAGTGTTTTTCTGAGAAACTATTTATTACACCAGAAATCCAATAAGGAGAAATAAGTTGGATATTCTGTGCAGTTTGTAATAAAATTTTAAACTGCTGCTAATCTTTCCTGTCCCTCTTCCCCAGGAGGCCCTTTTTTTTTTTTTTTTTGCTTCTGTACTAAATTAAAGCGGCTTCTTCTCTGCTCCCTTAGCACCC